AGTGCTAACCACTAGACCGATGTGCTGCCCAAATTACTTAGTTCTTTGTAGGAAATCTCCTAGGTAAACGACTCAGAAATGATAGCAGTGTAACATAAAGCAAAATAAAAACATAAGTGGTTATAATCTTTACAGCAATTTGAATATGAGCATCTAACACCTTCACCCCTCATAAATGGCTGTAAAAAAGGGGTAGATGCCGCACGGACAGAGACCAGCTGCTGAGGTCAGCTTGACTTCAGTGGCAATGGATACTAATGGTGGCAAGGTTTCACAAAACAAGGATCAAATCTTCTGGTTATTTAACTTTACCTGAATGGATTTAAAACCAGGATTATTTTGTCAAAACCTCTGTCATCACACCTGCAGTGTATTCAGAAATCATAACTGAAGGTCCATCGCCCACTTTTTCCCAGGGCTATCAACCACCTCGCACAGTCTTACGATGACCGGTTCTCCATCTGCTGAGGAAGACTGTGACATGCAGTTGAAAGCTCTGGAAAAAGCTAGCCAAACTCTAGTCAAGCTTAAGATAGTTGTAATTTTATGCTTTTTATTTCCAATGTCAAGAATGAACTTCATCTTCTCTGCTGTACATGTACACGTTCTGTAATTTTCTAAATACCCATAACGCTGCCAAGGCATGGCTGAGTGCACGTGTCAGTGCTTCTGTCAGAATCGCAGGAAGCACAACAAGAAGTGTAGCATATTCAGCCATAGTTTGACCACAGCTGCTCTTTGTTGTCCCTCAGGAGAGAACAAATAGTAGCTGAGTGTTTGATCCTAGGAAGACAGGTTGTTACTTTGAAGTGATAAATAGGATACATACAAACTGCTGGTAGCGGGTATGGTTCTGTAAGTCTTGGGAGAAAGTCAGATATTGAGAAAGCTACAGGAGGAGGGCTCCAGGATGTTGGACTTTGATGAACTACTAACAAAGATCTAATGTTTCCAACCCTGACGCCTTAAAGCACCTTTTCATTTTGACTCTATCTCTGTTGATTTTGATTCATGTGCTTTGTCTTAGCTTAAATAATTAAAAAGCGAGTCCCCTGGTCAAAGCCAACAGAAGCATAGTTCTCATAGGATTGTTGCTTTATATTTGGATGGCATAGTTATGTCCAAGATGAAAATCCTTGTTTTTACAACAGTGAGTGTTCAAAGCAGACAGGTGGGACTCACAGTGTACATGTATATCTGTGCTTGTGCAGGTAGAGTGATGTGAATGTACGCATACTGAAGAAGACATTCTGGTGTGCTGGTTTATTTTGCCTTTTGGATTGAGAAATGTAGAGCTGTTGATGTTTGCTAATTATATAAAAATGAACCGATGTGAATAAGAAAAATGTGAAAAGGTGTATATTTCGATAAATGTAATGTAATACATTGGTGTGTCCTATAGTCCTATTGAGTAAGGCTTAAAAAAAAAAAGAACATTTTGTACTCTAGCACTTTCTTTGACGTGTACTGTATTAGTTCATCTTTGACATGTAAAGTACTGTATGAATATTCATTACTTGCCTTGTAACATTTGAAACGATGCTACGTTTAGAAATGGTAACCAAGAAAACAAAGTTCTTTGGAGTGTATGCATGCCAGTGGTTGGGTCCTCAGTATAACAGAAAAACTATGTGAAAAAATGGTGCTATGTTACATTATATAATGGTGCTTCTATGGACCCTAACTGAATGCATGCAAAGAGGAGCTATCAGAAGATTAAAAGAATAAAAAACTGATGTCCTCCTGCTGTTCTCAAATAGTGCGGCTTCCCAAAGATGTTGGAAATTTAGAAATTCCAACTTTCTATTTGTTAAAATGCGACAGCCCTTCTAGTTAGTAGTCCAACTGTGGTTTGCGATACAGAAATCTGACAACAAGTCAGTGTTTTCTGCAAACGTACAGGGTTATTGTATTTTCACCCTGATGTTTATCCTCCGAACACACGTTTACTGAGAGTTTGCCGGGAAGTAGCATTTTAACTTGGACACGGAAAGTTTAAGCGTTGTCCGTGTTCTTCCCTGTTTCTTCTGAGCTACATCACAAGAAAACATGGAGGTTGTTATTATAATTTGTCAGCAAGGATTTTCCAAATGGATACTAGAACTGGAATGCTTAGTAGTAGCAGATATCCTACCTGGTCACAAATGGTCAAGTCTAACTGTAAATGCCATCATTACTAATCTGAGACAAACCACAACCGGGACTAGAGTGAGCTTGTTTGTGACCCTCAGCGACAATGATCGCATACAGAACCTGGCCATTATCATAAGGGCAACGTAAACCAACAGTATCTCAAACTGCAGTTGCAGTCAGCCGTGAGGTGGATTTTATTTTGAAGACAAATGTCATGTCTATTTACAGTTACACTGCCTTTGTGACAAAGGTCTAAAAGATCTATAGACAATCTAATGAATTATTTTGTACTTGTATTTCTTCAGATGTTTATGTGTTCAAATAATTTCTCATGTACTGTAGCGGAGTTACAGACAGTGAAGAGCAGCATAGTCTATAGAAGGTCAAAGGTGTTTTAGTTTGGAAAACTTGTGCAGACTGTTGCTGAAAAGGAATCTGAATAATGAAAATGTATCTGTTTATCAGCTGTACTGACCACCTTCTACTTATGTTTTTCATTAAATGTTTTATGGTGTTATCGCTGCTTTGCTTTAAATTTTAAGACTTCAGCCAGTGCCAGACTAAACTGCATGCACATGGGTGCTGTCAACAGTGTATTTTTATACTGAAGTGTAAAAAGAATTGTGGAATGTTCGAGAAATCCTTTATTTCATCATAAAATCATAACACACACTCCTCACTTATACAGGGTCAATCATCATTTTAAGCTGTGTTAATACTGTGCTTTACATCATGTCCTCAAATTACCGGAAAACTGACAAAAATGTTTCTGTCCAGATCCAAACCAACAATAAAGGTATCCTACTAACTAGACAGAGAGTGCAGACCTCCACCATGGGGCAAATCTGTTTTCTTTAATGCCATAAAAGCAATATTCCCATGATAGTTTGACCCTCATAATATGGCTACTTGACCATGAAAACCTACTGCTGTATTATTAGCTGATATTACCTGGTCTTGTTACACCAGTAATGCTGCTTGCAGATACCAAGCTAGTTGGAGCAGGGAAAGAAATTCCTGAGCTCAAGACACACTGGAAGAAAATAATGAATATGAAATGGGTTTGAACTTGTCAGATGGAGTTGAATGTTCTTAGTAAAGAAAGGACAAAGAAAAGGTTTTTGTAACACAGTGTACTGGAAACAAATCATTTAAGAGTATAATTTGACCCACGTAGGCTGCACATAAAAAGACTGAAATAATCAAGTTGTATAAAATCCATTTGGTTGGTATATACAGTATTCTCCTGCAATATAACTTCTTTGAATGATTGATTCCTTATTTTTTTTATTAGCAACATATTTGTTCACAATAGAGCACGCTATTTCAACACAAGGCCCTGCTTTCTGCAGGCTCCAGTGGGATTGAATGAGACTGAAAATGAGCACGGAGAACGATTCTCCCTCAGTGCCTTCTGCTGTGAGGAAGATGGAGGACTACTTCCTGTGCTATGTGGTCACATTTTTCACAGTTTTAAAGGTTTGTATAGTAGAAATAAAGGAAGCAATAAAGCAAGTCCCCAATGATGACTTACCTTAAATTCAAGGTGAGGTTAGATGTTTGGCGAGTAGTGGTTGTGGTTAAGGTAGGTCTCCAGGAAATGAATGTAAGTTAACGTAATGTCCCCCGAAGTTATGAAATCACAACATACACACGTGTGTCTGTAGGTACACTAGTACTGTTCCTCTGCATGTGTAATGTTCTATTGTGTGTTTTTATAATTCATAATGTGTTCATTTTTTCTGTTTTATAAACATTTTTATTATTAATTTTTAAATTATTTAGGTGTAGCAGCTTTGGTTTGTCTACTAAGGTATTAGGAATAGACTTTTAAACACTGCAGTACTACTGCCAACAGGAGATGGATTTGTTATGGTTAGAAATAATAATTAAGGTCGGTTGGGAATGTTCAAGGGAAACTGCAGATTTCTTGATTACAAATGTTGGATTGTAAACTAGTATACTATTAAACTAATAATGAATTGATTACTTTTACACAGGCACCCGGACCTTAGCAGTGCTGAGGTCACTAGACCTGCCTGAAGTGTGATCTGAAAGTTGACCTCAGCCCTGTGAACTTCTGAAGCGGGCTTTATCAACAGGCCGTTGATCAATATTATCACTTGCTATTCGCTTTGCCCTGTTTATTCCCCATTATTCCAGTGTGATTAAAGCCCCAGTGCACTGGAACATGCTGATCTTTAAGCCTGTGACACTTGTGTTGTGGAGAGGCAGTCTGTTACTTGATATGTGTAGCTTCATGTAATTCATCCAGAGACTACATGACATGAAGAATTACTGTAAGTGAGGCACTTAACTGACATCAATCCTGTGGTTTTCTCTCTACAACAGGGGGTGACAGTGGTCTGGTGGGTAGAGCAGTTGTCTCCCAACCGGAAGGTTGAGGGTTTGAATCCTGGTGCCTGCAGTCCACATGTCAAAGTGTCCTTGGGCAAGATGGCGGCACGTATGCATGCATGCAGTGGCCTGGGGCTCTTGGCTCCAAACATCATTATGTGTATGTGTCATAATAAAATAAAGCTTCTACCCATGGTTTAAATGGGAGTAATATTCTTGATCTCTTGAATACTATATTTTGTCTTCTTCTTAGGTATTTTGATTGTTCTCAGGGATTAATTGTGGGAGGATTGATTGTCTCTCAAATACTATATTCTGTTTGGCTTTAGGTACTTTGGAATTTGTTTCTCAAGATTTGTGTGTGGTGTTTGTTCTTATGGTGTTTTGTTGCTGCTGGAACACAGGAATTTCCCCATTGTGGAATCAATAAAGTCCTACCTACCTAATTACATTCCACTTCAGGTGGTGGCAGTAGTGCAGCTCAACGATGTGTGCAAACCACCAGAAGTACAAACCGAAGAAGAAGAAGAAGAAGAAGGAGGAGGCGGAAGAAGAGTTGCGGCTCATTAGTCAAGTGAAAAGCAAGACAAGCAATTTATCAACAAGAGGAGTATCACGTTTGTTCAGCTTATCCGTTCTTTTTGTATACAGTTGTGTAGCGGGCACGAGCAGTTAGTTGCTTTTCCATTGTTTATTGTTGCTGTCCACGTCGGTGAGGACTTCTGAAGTGTGTGTGTGTTGATGTCCCAGATTTAGTCTAATTTGCTGGTGGCCTATTTTGCTGACACAACAAACGTGAGATGAGCTGAGGGCAGCAGGTAGCATCTTCGTGACAGACTGGGTAAGAATTTGAACTAAAACGACTCAACTTTAGCCTGGGGCTTTTGACGAGAATTAGTTTATCTGATTTCAGCTAAAGCTAGGAATAGAGGAGTTAGCTAAATATCTTATTGCAGACTCAGCACTTTACATTTCCACAGAAATCCCGTCAGCTTCCAAATCACGTGATCCTTAATTTAGGGTTAAATCGGTTAAAATGGGCCATTTAAGATAGGCATGGCCTTGCATTTAAAAAAATTGCTATCTCTTAGCTTTCCTTTGGTGGTGTGAAATTATATGAATTGCTGTATTTTTAAAGGTTTAAACAAGCTTTCAGAAAGTGGCCAGTTTTATCTGATTTCAGCTCATCTCTGCTCATTTTATTTGAGTACAGGGAGGATTCCTCCATGAATACCTTCTTAAATGACTGTAACTAAATAACTCAACATCTTTCACAAACCTTGTAACTTAGGCAATTTCTTACAGATTTATCACTTTGCTTTATCTCCTGCCAGTAGTTTAATCATGTTGTCACATTTTATGATTAACCACTCTTATTATACAATTACCCAGTCATATTATGATTACTTACACATTATTGTACAGTTACTTACTCGTGTTATCTTTACTCAGGCCTATTATGTGATTATTCATTCATGTTATACTCATTCATGTGACATACAGTAGTTGCTGTAGGCTCCAATGTCTCACTGGCATTGACTCCATCTTTCCTTATTATTATAAGACATTGTTTAAGACATGGACTAAATAACAAGAACGCTAGATTAACCACTGCACCACTATGCTGGCCATTATTATTATTATTATTATTATTATTATTATTAGTGTCCGTTCGTATTTTATATTGTTCATACCATTAACACCTGTAAACATTTGGTAAGTGAAATTAAACAATTTAAATGTTTAAGAAGAATTTGTCATTTTTTATGACTTCTTTGAGGAAGACACATCAGCCAGAGTCACACCCAGAGGCAGTGCTTGTCTGTTATACTGTCAGCCAGCAGTAGCACTCAGGTTGCAAGAGCTAGTGCCGTTACTAGCAGGGCTGCCTTCATCAGGTTGCGTAAACCAGTTGCACATTGTAGTGGCCTTTCAAGACTCTTGTGTCTGCGTTGTGTGAGGTGATCTGCAGGAGCTTATGGGCTTACGTACAGGTGGTGCCAGGCCGTGTCCATTACTGTGATGGGTTGATGTGAGGAACAGGTCACGCTTCTCTGTGTCATGTGACGTCTGTCTGTGTATCAGGAGCTACATTCTGTTCAGCCTACCCAATGTTACTACAGCTGACACAGTTGATTCTAGCAGGATCATTTTAGTGACAAATCAGGTAGGTCTGTACATTAAACCAGCTCAGGGTGAGGCTTTGAACCTGCGTACACAAAGTTATGTTCATTTGATGAATGTTACCTTTGACCTGTGTCACCTTAGTTTAGCTGACTTTGTTTATTTGCACATATACAGGTGCAAAGTACAGATAAAAATAAAAACATACAACGTGCAGTGCTAGACAACAAGCTTACATGGAGCCTACTACTAAAACTTGAGATGTCTAGTGTGCAAACAACTGAAAAAATGCAAACAATAAACACAATCTCGAATGAATTTATTTTTAATGGGAGACGGTTTAACAAATACACATCCATTTTTTTTAAATAGAAAAACGCTCATAGAAATTTTTTTTTATTGTGTTTTATTTTTTGTTAACTTAAAGGAAATGTTGATCAGGGCAAAATTTAGCCCACTCTTTTACTGTATGAAAATCAGCTTTAAGAGATTGGAAACTCACTTGAGTCAAATAATCCATCAGACACAATATTCACTCTTATCGATTAACTAGGTTAGTTTTCACACCATGATGAAGACAGTGGGAACTACCTGGAAGGTAGCCCAACACATTCACAAATCGGAAACAGCACAGGCAGTTTAGGAAAACGGTTAGCTGAAGTGCCAGCTACATATGATTGCAGTAAACCACTGTACCACAAAATGTTTTATGGTCGATTTGTGACAGTCTCTGACTTGATTTTTATGACATCTTTCCACACAGTCAGGCTTTAGCTGAAGTATCATGGAGGATGACTGCAGGCCTCTGCTGAGCTCAGGGCAAAGTGGAGAGAGCTCCAGAGGCTCCAGAGACTCGCTGCTGGACTTCAAGGCTAAAAGGTAGATTGCAATGCAGCAGTGTACAGTTTTTACCAGCACTATACTAGTGTGTACATGACAGAGAATAAAAGTGAGATTCAGCTACTCACAGGTTTATGTTGTTAAATAGATTACATGAAAGAATTGGGGCACAGAGGTTTAAGGTCTAAAACGTACAAATAAGATTGTGCTGCTCTGTCCAGATGCAGTTGTGTCCCCCGTGAGAACTGTGCTGCTGTTTCTCTCCTTCATGTTCATTTTTACCAGTCTGGGAGGGGCCTGTACTGAATGGTGATGACATTCAATATGTGCATGTGCAGATATTATTGGCCCACACAAATTCAGATCTCATCATTCTGACTGCACTTGCACAGTCCCAAACCCACACGAATTCAGATGTCATCATTCTGACTGCACTTGCACAGTCAGGTATCAGATATGAATCAGGTCCAGGACCACATATGGAAGTGTCTGACTTGAAAAAAATAATGATTTGTTCACTCATCTGTGAAAGATCTGAGTCACTTGGTGGGAACAAATCTGATTTATGTCACTTCAGTTTGTGACGTGAACCTAACTTTAGAGAGCCTAGAATGCTCGCTGTTCACCTTGAAAAGCTTTTTATCCATCAATTAACAGTTGGTGCTTTTCCACTGAAGAGCATAACAGTATTTTTTCTGGAGGATACAAATACACGTTACACTTTGATAGTATTAATCATGAAAGGGAACCAGGATGCAAAGACGTACTACTAAAGAAACTATATCAGATCTGTATTATGTTTATGTAGAAGTCTTCCTTCTCCTGACACATCCATGTACATCTGTCCCCTTCTCTGAGCCACAGTTAAACAAGTCTGCTGTACTTTATCACTAGTGATGCACCGATTACCTGCAACTTCCTTGAGCTCGCGAGACAAGCGAATACAAAGAAATAAGCTGTGTGTGTTTTTGACACCACCCTAGTATCATTCCCAACTGCATGGGCAATGTGTGTAAATTTAATTCAGTTAGGTATTTCACATTGACCGACTAGATTTCTAGTGCACAAATCATTGCTAACACTCCTTTCTAAGAAGTTACATACATTTTTATGCTTGTTTTAGTCTGTAAGAACTCCTTCAGTCAACATGGTTACTGTTCAAAATAAAAGAAATGGAGTGTATTTGATTTGTTCTCTGACAATGGCAGTAGTTAGTTAATTGCAAAATTTGAATTAGAAAATCTCTATTATTTTTTTTTTATCACTAGTGTGTCTAGAAAATGACCCTGTCCAAACTCAGACATTCAGTCTAGCATATGGAAAGCAGCTGTGTATCCTCACAGTGGAGTTGTCAGCATCAGAGTGTTTGGTGTTTTTGACGTTTAAGTGATTTATGAAATCTGTTTGACAGATTGAATTATTGCAAGAAATGATATGTGTTTGTCTGCTGCTTCTAGACCTTTCCACGTAGAACCCAGGAACATCGTAGATGATGAACCGCAGGAGAGAGTCTCTGCCGAGGCTGCCATCCTCAGCAGCAGAGTCCATTACTACAGCAAACTGACGGGCTCGTCTGACAGACTGCTGGTAGGCCCATTTATTACCTAGTTAGTTGTTAGAGCAGGTGTCATGACCGTGGCCCTAGGTACAAATTTTCTAAGGGCATGTATGTCACACAGCAGCACCGGGCCAAATAACCTGCAAATCAAGTATTATCTTTAGTTGCAGTTACTGTTTATATCAGGTCCTGAACTTAATAATCTTTATTTTTTTCCATAAAGGCTCATGTTGCTGTTCTTGTATCTGTTGGGTTTTTTTCCTCCAGAGTCCTCCAGACCATGTAATCCCTCAACCAGAGGAGATCTACATCTACAGCCCACTGGGAACAGCTATCAAGGTTCAAGGCAGTGACCACTCCTCTAAAAACCCCAGTATCATTACCATGTAAGCCCTGTCACCAACATTCTGCTCTTTATACATAGGTCAGTGTGTCTGACTGGTTTGATTATTGCTTTGCTTTTATCTCCTCACAGATTTGCTATATGGAACACCATGATGGGCACATCTATACTGAGCATGCCATGGGGTATAAAGCAGGTGATAGTTTTTATTCCACACACCTCAGGTCTAAAGTCTAAAATGACTTATCCTCTATTGTTCTCAGTTCTTCATGAAATGCAGATTTGTACATGCGCACTTTAGGGCTGCACGATTATGGCAAAAATCATAATCACAATTATTTTTGGCAATATTGAGATCATGATTAATACTTGTCTTTAAACAGTGGGGTTTCTTTAACATTTAAATATGATTCAGCTGAAAATTAAGATCTTTATCTAACCATGATAGACATTTCAGAGGAAGTTATTTCGACTATTACTCTGCATTTATTTTCCTAATAAAACTTTGCCACTTCAGGTTGACAGTAGCTTATTACCTGCCTTAACCTAAACAATCTGCTGGTTGACATGTAAACCAACATGAAGCAGGAGGAGCTCGGTGAACAGTCAGTAGGTTTTGGAGTTAGATTAACACCGAGTGGAGAGCATCTATTTTCTTATAGACTTATGAGGCATGTGACGGCTGGACATGACAAATATTGTCGTTTTTCAAATGGCTGTTAATTCACTCACACTGTTTTTCTGCCGCACCAGGGAATATAATCAGTCTGACATTTGATCATGTGGGCAATTACAGTTGACTAACTTTAACATATTTAAAGTTGCCACCATAGGAAAGGTGATTAAATGGCCCTCAATAAGCCACAACTCAACCATGTATTCATTTCACACGGTACAAATAAAACATGCTCGTGCTGTGGAGTGCTGAAGGGTTGCGCTGAATTTATAACAAGACAAGACGAGAGCATCACAGAGTGTGGCATAATAGTTGTTTTATCTTGGTTATTTTGTTTTCCTAATCGTTGGAAGCTAAAATCGTCATTCAAAATAAATGTTGGTTAATTGCCAGGCACTAGTGCACAATAAAGTGGTCAAAAAGTGAAATGTTACTAAATGTTGCCTTTGTTCCTTTAGGCTGGTTTCACTCTGGGGATCCTCATCATCATATTCACAGGCTTGCTGATGCTCTACTGCTGTTACATTATCCTCAAATCACCAAAGGCAATACGTAAGTCCAGTTACACTTGGGTTGGAATCTATTACTTTGCTAATAATCAGGGCTCATACTCACAAAGCATCCTAAGCCCAAAGAGTCGCTCCTAGTGGCAAAGTTCTTAGAATTGTGACATTTTCTAAGAATGTCCCCTTAAAGTTGAGCCAAACTGATGTTAACCCTGGTTTTTGCCCTTTCTTGTCCCACTCTTTCTGTGCAAAAGAATGCCACCTCTTCAGTCTGGCAGCCACTGTTTCTTAATGGCTGGCTGTTCAAAACGACTACTTGTGGTTTGAAAAATGCTTCTTATAACCTTTGCTAGGTGACAGATGTAATGCTAATTTATGGACCGTACTTTGACAACACAGGGTAGAGGAGCTGGAATAACAACAGAAAGGCTGTAGGCAGCAGACTGTCCCATTTCCCCTGGATTTATCAGACAATGTATGAAATCTTTATGAGTACACCTTTAAAAATCTGTTATATATTTATTTGATCTCTTATTCATTGTTGACCTCAACCTGTTAGTTGTCCTGAGATGTGCACATGTGTTGTGTCATGTTTTTAGGGCTCTGGTGTACTTGTTTCCAGGTATAGTTTATTGTGATTACAGTTTTTTCTACTCCATATTATTACCAATGGTAATTACTTTTCATCAAATACTATTAATAATCAGTGCTAGATGTTTGTGATGATGATTCCACATAGGAGTGGCTCCTTTAGCATGTACTTGGCAGCCTTCATACCTCACTGCAGGATGCTCACTGACACTGACAGGGTCATGCAGACACATCAGATCAGTTCTTATGATTAGATTTCATTTCTTAACAACAGAATTGTCCACACCTCGACATTCACTGCTGTATTCCCTGTCTGTGTTCTGTCCAGCCAATGTGGACTCATCCAGCTGGGAGTTCCCTGATGTTTGTAGGTTCTACTTTGGCAAGTTTGGCCAGTGGTCCAGCTTGTTCTTCTCAATGGTGTCACTTATTGGAGCTATGGTGATTTACTGGGTCCTCATGTCCAACTTCCTCTTCAACATTGGACAGTTTGTCTACAGTAAGTCACAGTGCTCGTGGTAGTACCAGAAAGGAGGCCTCACAGATCCATTTGATTGATTGTTAAAAAAAGAAAACTCAGCTCTTTAAAGGCAACACACACAAACACTCTCCAACGTGTATTAAAACACTTGACTATCTGGCTACTGTACAGTGTGTCTGATGTGTGGTTCAGTTGTCACATGAGCTGACACTATGTTGCATGTTTATTGGCCTTATGAAATAGCCATGTGTTCACCACTGAGTCATGATATGTAATGCACTATGGCTTTAAACAGTTAGTAAAATATGGCTCTTCAGTAATATTTAGCCATAATGTTAGTGGAAAATGCGTACACGTCCTCCACAAAGCACGTTCTAGACTTATCCTTGATTAGGCCTTCATCCCTCAGAACGACCTTGGCTGAGTGTGAAAGTAAGGTCCATTACGTACCAAATGTTGCTAAATGAGGTGGAGCCATTAGCTAACATTAAAGCTGATGTTATGAGACCTCGTCAAAGTTTCATTGGTGTATTTAATCCCCATTTAAACAGGATATGAAGACGGTTGGACTGGATATTTGCAAAATGTTGGAGAATGCATTTGTGTATTCAGCTATTGCTAGTCTGGATTCTAACTATTAGCTAGCTAGTTTATGTGGTCACATACATTATAGGTTATCTGTTGAGAAGATGAAATTATATCAAACATGTCACCACCTGCTTATAGAGATTATTATTTTATGCAGTGCTATGGTAGATATTTGGTAGCTGCACATCTGTAATGTGCAATACAATCTTTTTCTTTAACCTGATGGTCTCCTCTCCTGTCTGCAGACTATGCCCACAGTGTCAACATGTCAGATATAGTGTTTGGAACCAATGACTCAAATAAAGGTAGGCCATTTACTCTATCCAACCTTCAGCTCTTTCATAGATGTGGGTTTTAACAGTATTCGCAAAGCGAGAATTTGGTCCTAAATTTATGTCTCACTCAGAATTTCAGCACAGACCATCTTTGGTTTCCAAGGCTCTAAACTGACTGTGAGCATACAGATCAGTGATAAATTAAAAGAAACACCTGAATAAATGACTGGCATTTTCCAAGCAAACAATAACTGGAACATGAGACATGAGAAAACACAGTTCTACTGTATAGTTTCAGAGCCCATGCATCTCAGTAATAGTGAATTACCTATAATGTTTTCTATGAATAGAAATCCTTCTATCTTTGTTTATTGGCCAGTACTTGTTTTATGCTGATGAACTGAGCTTTTCTAGACCTTTGTCATAAAATTTGGTACATTTTCTGTTCTGATAGTTATCTTTACCTTAAATTTTTGTCTCCTTGTGCAGATATTCAATGGAAATCATAAAATTAATAACCAAGAATGAGAATGAGGCATGTACATCAGACGTGTTCTAAGAAATGCCATATGTTTATCTTTAGTCAGTGAAGACATCAGGTGTTTTAGGATTCACTTAGTACATTTTGAAACATTTTGTCACCTTTTTTAATTGTATGTATGTAATCTTGTGTGTGTATGTTGTGCTCCCGTTTCTGAACTGTTGTTTCCTAAATATCAACTAAAATGTGATCCAGTTAGTGAACTGACTGGGCGGATGGTACTGCTTTGTTGATTTGTTCACCAGTCATCTGTCCACACCCGATCGCTGACCCTGGTGGAAACGCTGACCCTGGTGGAAACGCCACCATCGACACACTGTACCTCGGTGACAGTGGAAATGCTACTTCTGATGTGAACTCTTTTGAGCCCTTCTGGAGCCAAACCGATACCATTCCCTTCTACCTGATCATCCTGCTGCTGCCGCTGCTTTGCTTTCGTTCAGCTTCCTTCTTCGCAAGGTTTACCTTCTTGGGTAATGATATGAACAGTGTTTAGTATAAGTCTTAGACATTATCTCAGCAAGCCGTTTTAGTGTTCAGATCACAGTCCGTCATGGTGGTCGTTTACAGTTGTAAAGGCTTTTTAAAACCAAGTGTAAAAAGAGTCTCAGATTGTAGGTCAGAGTTGAAACTGGAACACATCCCTGGCTGTGGGATGTAATTTTCAGTGTGTCATTACTCATCCATTCATTGTTGCATTATTCCAGGCACCATATCAGTGGTCTACCTGATTGTGCTGGTCACTATTAAAGCTTCGCAACTCGGTTTCCACCTGGAGTTCCATTGGTTTAACGCAGCCCAGTTCTATGTTCCAGGTAAACCTAATGCTTCTATTTTCAGGAGTCTTTGTTTTCAACTCGGTAAACATAATCTAGATAACTGTGCCTTCAGAAAGTATTCAAACCCTTTCACTTTGGGCCCACTTTATTGAATTGTTGAATTACAATACATGTGTTTTCCTCTAGTATGAGGCTAGGACCAAAACAGTAACTTTTGCACACAACACATCTCATAATCTGACAATCAGAATGTTAGTAAATGATGATAATCACTTTTATTGGCCAAGTATGTTACACACACACAAGGAATTTGTCTCCGGTACAGAACCCAGGCAGCCATTTGCGGCGCCAACTCACACACACATCGATGGGGGTGCTGTCCCTGCGAGGTGCTGCTCTGGCCATCGGGAGCAACTTGGGGTTCAGTGTCTTGCCCCAGGACACTTCATGTGGATTGGAGAGAATGGGACTCAAACAGCTGATCTTCCATTTGGGGATGACTGCTCTACCTCCTGAGCCATGTTTCTGTTTTGTTCTTTCAGAGTTCCGACTGATCTTCCCTCAGCTGACTGGTGTCCTCACTCTTGCCTTCTTCATGCACAACTGCATCATCACTTTAATGAAGAACAATAAGGAGCAGAAGAACAATGTGAGAGCCATGTTCACCCATGCTTGTGTACATCTTTACAAACTGCAAACACAGATTGCACTAATCTGGTCCCAGCTGCCTTAGTTGAGATAACAGAAAGTTGGTATTTGTCATGAGTTAACATCTGAGTCATGCCTTTAATGTTCGATTCAGAAACAGGAAGGAGAGTCTTCCAATAAAACATCAACAAAATGTGGTCAAGACAAGCCTCCTCTCTTCATTTCCCCATCAGACACTAAATAAAGTAAAATGTTTTTGTTTTTCTCAGGTGCGTGACCTGTCTGTGGCTTATCTTCTAGTAGGACTGACCTATATGTATGTGGGAGTGTTGATCTTTGCTGCCTTTCCCACACCACCTCTCTACAAAAGCTGCATTGAACCAGTAAGATTTACACTTGACTTTTTTTTTTTTTTAAATGTCTCGCGCCCACAGCACATGGTATGCAGGACGTTATGGAGTCATGCTGCTGTCTTTGGTTTGACATACAGACTCGGACTTTATCTTATTTATGTGTATCTTGTTTATCATGTTTTAGACATTGGGCAAAAACAAATTCAGCTGTATGTGCAGATCATTGACTGTATAAATGAAAGACAGGCTGACAGCTCCCAGAAGTGAATCCACTGTGAATCAGTTGCCCCCTGGTGGCTGGTTGCAGTATAGGTCATAAATCCCACCTTCTCTATGAGCGACACACAAAAAAAAATCCAAGTACAAATCAGATAAATTTTCCCCAGAAGTGATTTCTGTCATATTTTGTAGACATTATCGCACTGATGTGTGTACAAGTGGTCATTTTTTTTTATAATTCAGTGTTTAAGAAGTTATTTGATTAAAGAGGTGCACTTGACAGTTTGCTTCCCTGTACAAAGTTTTTAATTTAATTTGATTATTAGCCTTGACAGAAATAGTGGTTAAGATAAAATAGTTCCAACATTTTAAATAATTTCGCATTTCATTACAAGACATTTACTTTACAGCAACTTAATCTTGCAATTATGAAAATGTAATTAAGTTTACAAAATAAAATGTATCCAGTACAGAACTTTTCTGGAGTAAAAAGCATAAGAACAGGAAATATGGCATTTTGTAAAGTCTTCATGGTTGAATTAATCAGTTTCTAAAGATGGTACCCTTTTCTTCTCAGCAAATTTGAAAAAAAAAAACAAGTGTCTTTATTAAAATGAAGCTGCAAAGCCATTGCATGTACAGGTGCATCTTAATAAATTAGAATATCATGGAAAAGTCCATTTATTTCAGTAATTCAACTCAAATAGTGAAACTCGTGTATTATATACATTCAGTACACACAGACTGAAGTAGTTTAAGCCGTTGGGTCTTTTAATTGTGATGATTTTGGCCCACATTTAACAAAAACCCACCAAATCACTATCTCAATAAATTAGAATATGGTGACATGCCACTCAGCTAGTCAACTCAAAACTTTCTGAGCCTTAAAAATGGTCACTCAGTTTGGCTCACTAGGCTACACAATCATGGGGAAGACTGCTGATCTGACAGTTGTCCAGAAGACAATCATCGACACCCTTCACAAGGAGGGTAAGCCACAAACATTCATTGCCAAAGAAACTGGCTGTTCACAGAGAGCTGTATCCAAGCATGCTAACAGAAAGTAGAGTGGTACGAAAAAGATGCACAACCGATGAGAGCAAGTTTTGTATTTCATTTGGAAACCAAGGTCCTAGAGTCTGGAGGAAGGGTAGAGAAGCTCATAGCCCAAGTTGTTTGAAGTCCAGTTTGAAGTCCAGTGTTAAGTTTCCACAGTCTGTGATGAGTTGGGGTGCAATGTCATCTGCTGGCATTGGTCCACTGTGTCTTTTGAAAACCAAAGTCACTGCACCCGTTTACCAAAAAATTTTAGAGAACTTCATGCTTCCTTCTGCTGACCAGATTTTTGGAGCTGCTGATTTCATTTTCCAGCAGGATTTGGCACCTGCCCACACTGCCAAAAGCACCAAAAGTTGGTTAATTGACAATGCTGTTGGTGTGCTTGACTGGCCAGAAAACTCACCAGACCTGAAGATAGATAGATTCTCTATGGGGTATTGTCAAGAGGAAAATGAGAAATGAGAAACAAAATAATGCAGATGAGCTGAAGGCCACTGTCAAAGAAACCTGGGCTTCCATACGACCTCAGCAGTGCCACAGACTGATCACCTCCATGCCACGCCGAATTGACGCAGTAATTAAAGCAAAAGGAGCCCCTACCAAGTATTGAGTACATATACAGTAAAAGAACATACTTTCCAGAAGGCCAACAATTCACTAAAAATGTTATTTTATAGGTCTTATGAGGTATTCTAATTTATTGAGATAGTGATTTGGTGGGTTTTTGTTAAATGTGGGCCAAAATCATCACAATTAAAAGACCCAACGGCTTAAACTACTTCAGTCTGTGTGTACTGAATGTATATAACACACGAGTTTCACTATTTGAGTTGAATTACTGAAATAAATGGACTTTTCCACCGTATTCTAATTTATTGAGCTGCACCTGTATAGTTAATGCAAAAAAAACTTTCCCCAGTGATTTAGTTCATTAAAGAGAAAGTTGTGGTGTGAGGAACAAGGAGTGAAGAAAGAACTGAAAATGCAAAGACTTAGGGATTTATCACAAACATCTGAGGAACAGTGGTTAGCGCCGTTGCCTCACAGCGCGAAGGTTCCAGGGTCGGGCCCCACCTGGGACCTTTCTGTGTGGAGTTTGCATGTTCTCCCCGTGCTTGCGTGGGTTCTCTCTGGGTACTCCGGCTTCCTCCCCCAGTCCAAAGACATGCAACTTAGGTTGATTGGTGTCTCTAAATTGCCCATAGGAGTGCATGTGTGTGTGTGTGGTTGTTTGTCTATGTGTTAGCCCTGCGATGGATTGGCGACCTGTCCAGGGTGTACCCCGCCTTTGCCCGATTGCCGGCCGGGATTGGCTCCGCCCCCCCCGTGACCCCGCTCAGGGATTAAGCGGTAGAAAATGAATGAATGAATCTGAGGAAAGCTATAAACTGCTAGAGAAAAGCCGTTCCTGATATGGCTTTAGTCACATTGTTATCCACAGGGACTGTACTGTAGCTTTGCCACAGATTTGTCAAACAAACCCCACAGTGCAAACACTCCCACTTCCTTCTGTCCTACAGAACTTCTTGGATAACTTCCCCAGCAATGACGTGATGGTGTTTGTGGCTCGGGCCCTCCTGTTGTTCCAGATGATCACAGTCTACCCTCTACTAGGATACATGGTGCGGGTCCAGATGATGGGCCAAATCTTTGGCAATCATTACCCCAGGTAACACTGAAGGGCATGTCATTATCTTAGTATTTTTTTATGAGGATAAAGCTAATTATCAAATGTGTAATAGCTGATTGTTGTGGCCAACTTGGGGGCTGCAGAAACAAGCTGAGAAAAAGCTCTAAAAAGCCGCTGTGCATTACCTGCTCAGCAGCAAACAGCAGACAGACAGCGCTAAGCTAGTGAACTTAAAATGAACATTGGTGTTCTTGTCTGCTGGATGAGAAAATAGGCAGCTGATCATTAGCACTTTAGCAAAACCTTTATAAGGTGATGGTACAGTATGTCAGAGGTGTTTAGTTTGTTGTGAACTTCTTTTACCTTGTTAGGGAATATTGTATTTTTGAGCTGTCAAATGTTTGACAGGGAGATGTTCAGTATATTATTATAGTCAGATATTTAACAGTGTAGTATTCTGTTACATGTCATTCTGATAAATCTGCATGATATTCATTGTTCTAATATTTGCGTAGTGATAATTGTATAGTGAACCTTTGCTAGTGTCTTGTAACAAGCCAGTTAGAATTTGAGTTTCACAGATTTCAGCACAATTTTTCACATGCATTTCTCTAGTTTCTTCCACATTCTGGTACTGAACATCATCATTGTTGGAGCTGGTGTCCTGATGGCCAAGTTTTATCCCAATATCGGATCCATCATACGGTATGTTGATTGTAAAATTGTTTCCATATTCTCTTACACTGTATGATGAATCATAAATAATGAGAGAATGTTCTATTCAATTAATTTAATTTGCCATAAAGTGTCTGGTTTCCCATCTTCCCATATGGCAGAGTAAACATCCAGTATTTTAAATACAGAAAACATCTCAGTAACTTACTTTCATATATGTTTTATATTAACCCAACATTTGAAGCTTGAAAATATTATTTTGGAAATATGAATATAGTGTTAGTGATTGTGTGTGTGTGTGTGTGTGTGTGTGTGTGTGTGTGTGTTCTTCTGACTCTCGATTCCATCCCAATCTTGTCAACACATCAGTGTTAAGGGAGCACATTTTAGCAAGAGATGTTTAATATTAAATAGTTAAATTGTTTGGGAAATATGCTTAAATAATATTGACCCATTTGACCTGTTGTGATGCTCTGCCCTGATGTTAACACTATCTCCCCTTGCAGGTTTTCTGGAGCAACATGTGGCTTGGCTTTAGTGTTTGTTTTCCCTGCTTTAGTCCACATGATCTCCCTGAGAAGGCAGGGGGTGCTCCGCTGGCCGTCAGCCCTCTTCCACAGTTTCCTGATCGTTCTGGGCACAGCCAACCTGCTGGCTCAGTTCTTCATGTAGAGCCAGTCAGACACAGACGCTCTCAGCCATTCAAGGCAAGAGTGAAAGGTGAGATGGAGATTGCAGATGAAAATCTCTGACCTTCAGTGTAGAATAACAGAGTTCATAACCGTATTGTGTGTATTATCCCACATGATTCATGGCAACCAGAATGATGCCAAGATGAATCACCACCTCAGCCAGTCAGGTTTAATGTCTGTAGTAATAATATAAGATTGAAAAGAATATCACACACTGAAGTAAGAGTGATTGCTTTTAAAGATTTCTGCTTCGGGATAATAACAGAAATCTGTTCATTTGGTTTGACAACATTATTTTCTTCCTGCAGTCCAGCCAGTGGTATTTCTATGATCAGACAAATTTTTTTTTTTTGGAAATAATTTCTTACTGATTCTGTTGATTATTCCTGCCTAGACTGATCCCAGACCTTCCCAGCCAAGCTGTACAGACACTGTGAGCTGTGTCGAAACTCTGTGCCTTTACTAACGTCAGCATTGTGCTGGCAGGCACATCAGGTTGATTGATATTGAAATGGAATTGTCTTATTAATCTGTTGTATGAAAGGTCTGCTTATATGTAGATTCAAACAACATGTCAAACTTAAAGCTACTATTATTGCTGTTGTTTTATAATAACTGACAAATGATCTGGTGTCTGTGCAAGTGATGAATCTACAGAGAATGTTCAACTATCTGTGGCTCTCCACTACTTTATAGAACTTTATAATGAGCTTCTGCTCTTTGTATTGTATCTGGACCACATCTTTACTACAGCTGTTTTCAGTGAAAAAGCTCTAAACCCCACTCCAAATGAACAATCATGTTGCGCTGTAAGTTTAAGGTGTGGAAATGATAACTGTTTGCTAAGGAGCTCAACACATGGACCTACCAAGGCATTAACAGTGGTGTTCACAGCTTGCGGCTGGTGCCCCCAAGTGGCCAGAGAAGTCAGTTCTCAGGTTTGCATTTGTTCCATGTGCTTTTCTGATTGTATAGAATTGTGTCCTATTGATACCAGGGCAACATATAGAGGATATAACTGTGATTTTGAAAACTGTTCATGTGTTTTGAGGGAAGCCATGCTTATTGACTACATTTTGTAGAAACATTTGCCACAGCCTGTTTGTTTTATGAACAGTGTTGACAAATTTACGGTACACGATTCTTATTTTCTAGATACTGTACCCAGTGTGCTGTATGTTACTAATGATGGGATAGACAAAGGGAGTACGTTTCTGAAATAAACTATATAACTCTATAAGAACTGTAGTTTCCTGTTTGCTTTCAATCAGATTGTACCAGTATATAGAGTAATTCTGGTTTGTTATACTTAGTTCTTATTTGAATAACATCCTTTAGATCCATCAGTGTACTCAGACTGGCTTCTGCTACTACTCAGGTTATACAAATACATATCAGAAACCATGCATCTATTATCTATACTGCTTATTCTGTAGAGGACTGCATTGTGTGGGGTGGGGCAACATTGGGTAAGAGGCATGGTACAGGTCGCCAGTCTGACTTTGGAAAACAAAGATGAGAAAATGAAGACTAACAGTAAGCTTATCCAAAGTCTAAGCTATTGAGTACAGTTATGATAACCCAGGATTTTCTTTTAAAGTGATCCTAAAACTGCAAACGGTGCATCCATTAGTTGTTTAAAGCAGACACTGTATTATGCTTTTCAACTTGCCTTTGAGTATTTTCAGTTTTTCCACTGGACAGTAATGATGAACAGGAGTGTAGGGAGGGAGGGGAAGATGGAATCAAACCAGAAACCTTGCAGCCTTCTGAAAGTAAAATCAGCAAAAGGCCTGTAGTCAGCTGAGATGGTTTGGGATGAGCTGGACCACAGAGAGAAAGAATATCAGCCAACAGGTGCTCAGCATATGTGGGAACTCCTGACATTGTTGGCCTTCAAAGGACTGAAACACCACCACAGGGGATAAATATCTCCGGCTCAACACCAGTCAGTCAAAACTGATGAAGCCTCTTAGATGAGAGGTGAAACGTCTTCGACCTAGAAATCTAGTCCATTGATTTTTTTTTTTTCTAAGTTTTTTTCAGTTTTCTTGTGGAAGCTCAAGAAATTTGACACTTAAGGAAAGCTATGCTCCAGTTTTTTCACATGTTGTAGAAATTGTGCTGACTTTATCACCGTTTGGTTTGGTGGGTTGACCAGTGCATTAGGAAGAATAGTTAAGTCTGCATTTAAAATTACTGGCCACCCTCTCTCTTCAGTTTATAAAGGCCAGCTTTACCAAAGGGCTTTGACCATTGATTTTCAGCTAGCGCCTCCTCTCTTTGAAGGAATGGCCTCTGGGAGGAGGCTCAGACAGCTTTTCTCTGATCACTTCTGTTTTCTTCAAGAATACTTTAAAAGTTTAAATTCAGCCTCACATGAGCTTCACCAGAAATATAAACATATAGTGACGATTACAAGATCACAATGTAATTTGGTTGCAGAACATACAGATATTCTGGAGGTATACACCTTGTTCACCAACACTAAACCATGTATTTTCTTCCTGATATAAAAAATGTCAGCAAGCCTTGGCCACTCCTGACATATTCTGAACTTTTTTGCACCATCATATAACTGACTACAACTTTTGCTGCAAATGCTTTTTCAACTTGCCTCAATTTGTGCTGCACAGATAAACTCAAATATTTAGTTTTGATTTATGTCTGAATGTTCACATTTGCTCCATAGCCCCATGAAGTTTTCACACAGCTGGGTCCCATGTCTTTCCCGTGTCCCGCTGCTCGAGCTTCTGATGCTGCTGATACAACTGTGTGATCATTTTTCAGGGTGCATTAAATGGAGAGCTGTTTTTGTTATCTTGTCCTCCCAGGCTTGGCTAAATAACAGGAACACCGCTCAGTATAATGCACTAAATCTTCACACAACCAACATCTTTCTGAATAAGTCTGAACAGTGTTCAGTTGTCTGTTTTTCTTTATTTGTTTACTTATTTATTTCCAAAGATATATGTCAATTTATTGATTCTTTTTAGGCAAAGAGTTTATGTGTTTATTTTTATGTAGTGTATCATGGTCATGGATTCATCTCCTGTGTCACTTTTTGGCCCACATATAAAGAGTGAAAATGTGGAGAAGTTAATCAATATGCAGGTCCCTAATTCAGGGGCCGGACAGGAAGCCCTCTCCCACAGATACCATTAGTGGTATTAATTCTGTCTGAGGAATGGAGAGGGTCAGAGCAGTGTCAATGTTCAGTACGGCTGTGACCTGACCTTTCTGACTGCCTTCATCTTGTTTAAGTCCTCAGGAAGACTTTGCCTTGTGCTGCTAGCCTATTACTGTAGCTGGCGCAGTTGGGGGTTGGGATCTTAATTGTTTTATTGGTGGTCTGGGGGCTTTCTGTCACACTGGCAGAGGCAGTGTTAGTTTGGTGATCAATTTCCCCCAATTTGCCCTGCATTGTTAAGGGCCTTGTGTGTGGAGTCTGAAACTCAAGCAGCTAAATGGAATCAGACATCCTTTTTATTTACCCCCGTGTCACATGTTATTGTGCCTACTGTGAAAGCTACCTGTTATCAAGGAGGTGTTCTTCCATGATAATGGTGTTTGGCAAATAATCCCCCTTTTTATTACCCAACAATAATCTTTATTACTGTTGCATTCAGGGCAGCCTACAACCTAATACTACACTGGTACCCCTTTATAGTCATGTTTCTCACCTTTTAGTTTATTTGGTTTCATTTTCATTTATTGGATTTTATCGTGTGCGAACAGTGTTTTTCTTCAATTTGTCTTAACTGATTTTATTCTGGTTTTACTGACCATTGTTTTTAATGCTGTTAAAAAATTGTACAAGCAGCATTTTACAGCAACACTATGTTTTCAAACGAGTGAGGCACTGTTAGTAATAAATAATAAATAAGTAATAAATATTCTGCGTCAGTGCACTCATGTATGTTATGTTATTACACTAATGAATGCAGCTACTTGAGAAGAGTAGAACACAATGGCTACATCCTCCTGGGATGGATCATGTGTCTGCTTCCCTGGCTCCTTCCCCTTGACAAAAAGCACACCCTTTAGTATCAGCATAATCAATGGGGAGTGGTGCTGGAGGGGGTGGCTACAGCAGTTTGCCTGTCGGTGATTCGCGGATATGCGCTCTAATTGGATAAAGTGGAACTTGTTTAGCTGTATGCTTTGTGCTGCGATTGGAAGCAGCCTGCAAAGAGAGCAGGGCACAGCACCTGACAGGAAG